CATCCGTTTAATTCGGCGGGAGCGGCTGAGGGGCGGGAATGGCTGGAGGGCGGCGTGGGAAAATGGGAGATAAAGAGGTAACTGTGAAGAACTTATAAGGGAAAGCACAGTTCTTACTCCCGGGTAGAACACGGTCGGAGCATCCGACCTCCCACATACAGCACAACCTAAGGGGGACTAAATGGAGGGTGGAGGAGAGGGGAGATCCCGCGGCCAGGCTCAGTCAAAACCCTTGCAGAGGTGGGAATTTGGTGGTGCTTTCCAGTTAACAATCCACACAACAGCTGAAAACCAAGGGAGATGAAGGAAGATGTGCTGCTGTTGAATCAGCAGCCGTGGCGAAATCACTCTCCCTGGACTCACACTCCCATCATGTCAGATGCTATCCTGAGATACCTGCCCGCCAAAGTATGACCATCCCTCACTGACTAAGGTGTATAACTAAAGTCACTCAATGTCCACCTAGATGTAAAGAAATAATCTAAAAGTGAGTTAAGAATGTGGGGAAGTTAGGGAAGACTCTGTCGTAACTTCTGGGATCACTCGATGGGCTGAACTAGTCTTCTCCCCCATGGGATGCCCGAGAACCATACCCCTGTTCCCATGAGAGTGTAACGAATGAGATGAATGTGTCTTTACAAACAGACCGTGTTAATCTGCTTGCAGATAGGGCTAGGAACTTATAGATAGGGAAGTAACAGAAGAAAATATCAGTTCTAGAAAATGTTACTAATTGACACACTGTTGCTCAGCCAAGGCCGTGTTATATTCTTGAACCTAGAAAAAAAGGAACAAAGGCTTAACAGAATTATGAAGTTTCTTTTTCTTTCTTCATAAGACAAAAGAAGGGTGCATATTAAACAGGGGCATAGAGTAGGTGTCTTGGGAAGCCTGTACCTTCCAAGTACCTCAGCCAGTGGGGAAAAAGAAGAGGGTGATCAGGAACTTAGGATAAAAGGGGGGCTGCTTCCCTCAGCAATTTTAGCGACCCCGTGGGAAATGCCCCACAGCCTTTCCCTTTATTCTAATAAAATTACAGGACTCCTCTGTCTCCTTTTTTGACATAAACCTCTAGCACCTTGGATTAATTTTCCTAACAATGGGGTGAAAGCCGATGTGTGGGAAATGAGCCGTGACCTGGTTACCCAGGCCTCTGCTTCAGTCTCTGAGTCTTGCACATGGGGATGTTCCTGGAAGACGGCTCTTTCTCTTGTCCCTGGAGGTGCTTAGAAGCCTCCACGTGCTCAAGCAGGGCCACTCGGAGCCACTTGCCCAACACCACATCCAGGCAGCTTTTAAAAATCTGCCTGAGATTTTAGAGACCCCACCACCACTTTTTTTTGGGCAACCTGGTTAAGCGCTCGGTCACTCCGGCAGTGTTTCCTGGCTCGTTGGGATGGAACCGCTCAACATTTCAGTGTGTGTCCAGACGCCCCGGTGCTGCCGGGGCACAGGCGGCTCGCGCCCATCCCGGCGCTCTCTCCCAGCGCGGCTCCCGCGCGCCGCTGTCGCTTTAAGGGCCGCCGGGCCGTCCCGTGGTGCACCGCGGCGGGCGCGCTGAGGGGAGCGTGGCCGGCGTCCGTCCGCGCGCTCGGTGCCGCCGCTCGCTCGCAGTGGCGGCGGGCGCGATGCGGGGCTGAGGGGCCGCGACCCCAGCGCCGACCCGCTCATCCACCGACCCGGCCCTCGCCGCCGGCTTCCGACCCCGCTTTTCCGTTGTTCCCGCCGCTCCCGCCGCCGCCATGTCTACGGGCTTCTCCTTCGGCGCGGGCACCCTGGGCTCCACGGCGACCGCCGGGGCAGGAGGAGGAGGAGCCGTCGGGGGTTTTTCCTTCGGAACCGCCACGCCGAGGTAACGCGGCGCCCTCGCTGCTCTCGGTTCGGCCGTGCCTGCAGCCCCCCGCGGCCTGAGGCTGCCGCGTGGGCCGGGGCCCAGCCCGAGCCAGGGCCCCGTCCCGTGGTGCGGAGGGCGGGGGCGGCCGTGCCTGTGCGAGGGAGCGGGTCGCTGCCCCGGGCTCGGGGCTCGGCGCCTCGCCCGCTCCCGGAGGGGCCCGGGGCTCCGGCAGTCCCGGCCGCAGGGCCCTTGCTTGGTGCACCGTGTCTGCCCCGGCCTCCCTTGCCTTGTCTTCTGTGCCTCTAGCAGAGACGTAGGGAGCGATCTGTTCAGCAGCTAATAATTGAGGGAGTTGCTCTTCTTATTGTGCTTTGCTTTGGCTTTGGATGCCTCCCGCTACGGTTCAGCCTGCCGCTCTGAAGGCAGGATGTGAATCAGTTGTGTACCCAGCTTTCTCTCAGAAGTCAGCCCGCGTTTGTGTCCGCGGCTTGGAGCACGTTGATGCCAAAGCCCACATGTTCAGTGTCCAAAAGATGTTCTGTATATGTTTTAGAAGTTAGGTTCGATCTAACCCTTTCTAACAAAAATGACCTTGTATTGGCTGTATAGTATATTGGAGTAAAAGGAGAACTTTGTGCGTGTGATGTACAGCAGGTTCTGTACTCCAAGAGTTAAGATTTAGGTTTCTCAGAATAACAGGTAAGTCTTGTTGGTGGGCTTTCTTTCCGTTTTCTGTTTCTTTGCACACAATTGGACTGCTAGAGTCTGTTTATTCTGACCTGCTTGCTGTTGTACCTCTGTTGAAGATCAAGGCTGTTGTGTCAGAGACTTTCCCAAATGTAACCAGAATTGATCACTGTAGTGTAAATTAAATGGACAGGGGTGGTTACTCAAGGGAGCTTTGCTTAATGTGCTGCATTTGGAAATACTTGTTAGAAACGTTACGAAATAGCATTGTGAGATGGAGAGAACAGAACATCTGGATCTGAAGGACATCCGTTTAATTCTTGGATTAAATGGCAGTATTGCTTTTTTGGGAGCCCATAGAAGAGAGAATAAGATTTCTGGGTTTGTTGTAATAATGTAAACGTTGTGGTTGTCACAGATTGATGACTTTCTTGTGTTATTTCTGCTTGGTTTTGGAGGAGGGGGGTTGTTTGGGGGTTTTGAGTTATCTTGTGGTGATAGTTTTTTGGGGGTTCTTTTTGTTTGCTTGGTTTTTTAATTTCCACAGTAGAACTTTTGTAGACTTGATAATTTTTGCTCTTTTGCTTCATGCCTTCATAATGTCTGTTTCCTGTGATTCAAATAAGCAAGTTAAAATAATATTTGTTAATTCAAAACCATTCTTCTAAATGTACTGAAATAAGAGAAACTCTTTTGTCTTGTTGATCTGCACTTTTAAAAACTGCATATTGAACTTAAATGTTTTTGTTTGGTGGGGCTTTTTTGTATCTTAAAAAAAGTTTAATAGGTGCTAAGTAATAGCAGTATAGTACTCTGTATTTTTATTAATTTATTTATTTTTGCAAGCAGAACCAGTCTTCAGAGCTGTTGGTCAAAGAATCTCATAGAGTAAGGGGCCTTCTTACTGGCTCTGCATCCCTCTGGAATAATTTGCTTGAGAGCATGTTTAAGACTGTAAGAAGAAGCTGTTCTCGAGCTGGGTCTAAGATGATATTGCCAGGTGTTGGGAGAAAAAGAATTTGATTGTCTGGTCCAAGCATAAGTGTTACGTGGCCAAGGATTATATTCTGGTGGCTGAAAGCCTCTGTGACATGTCAGTCTATCTAATCTGTGATTTGCACCAGCCTTTCAGGTACTTGCACTCTTTTTTAGTTGTTCTCTTATTGTATGCTTTAGCCAGGGGCAGTGCTTCATTCTAGCTCTAGAATTAGAGTTCAGACCTGACTTCACTGATCTGAGCTCCTCTTCCTTCCATCTGTGTTCTTCTGGCCCATGCTTTCTCCTGCTGGTGAGAATGCTGCCATTATTTTGTTCCTACATTTTGGATTCTTTCTACCTTGAAAAAAAGGCCACTTCATTTTATTTGTGTTGGTTTGGTTTGGGGTTTTCTTTGTCCTGCTTAGTGTCGAATATCACAGTTTGCACCTTGGCTTTCTTCTACGGGAATGCTGTAACACGAAAAATGTTCACAGAAGAGTCATCTACTGGAAAAAAGATGAGGCATGTAAGCTTTTATCTAGTGAGAGAAGCACCATGTTGTATGTTTAAATTTTCAAGTAGTTAGGTAATGGTGCTGCAGTTTGGTATGTTGAAAGTTTGGGAGTAAAGACAGCTGAAAGGCTCTGGATCCTGTGTGACAGTTAGTGAGTCTGTCCTTCTAACTTCTTGGCCACTCTGCTTCCTAATTTACTGCCTAAAAAATAACTCACACGTAGTTCTGAACTTGCAGCCAGCTGGGATTGCCATGATCAGTTTTATTGATAGCTTGAAGAGTTCTAATTCAAGAGCTAATGGTACCTTTTTGGTATGGATTTACTTTTGTGTTGGACTTGCTACTTTAGGAGCTGCCCTCATACACAAAGAGAGAGGAGATAAGGGAGAAATGAGAGAATACTGAACATCTAAAAGATAAAAAGTCCTTGGTGAAGTCTAAATTACATGTTGTTTCAGTGTTGCTGTTGTACTTGAGCAAAATGTGTTTGAAAACTGAACCTTGTTTCTAAAGAGGCTCACAAATGGGACCAGGAAGTTATTAATCTGATAAATTATTCATCTGATCTTTCATCAAATAAGAAGAAAATTTTTAAAACCAGACTCATCTGGGTGCTGGTAGCTGTAATTTCATTGGCTGGAGATAACCATGATTATTGTGTTCTGTGCTAATTGTAAAGCTTGTTTTGTATTTGGTATGAAATCTCTAAAATGTGTGGTCACCCAAAAGAAGTATTAAAGCCTTCATTTTCCTAGTGATGACTGATCTGATTGTCTCTGTTCTTTCTCTTCCCCTTCATCTATTAAAGTAGATCTGGAAGTTGTTTTTCTGTAACTTTCTGACAGGTAGACAGTCCAAAAAAATACAGTAGGCATGTGGTTGGAATCTGTGCAAAAGGATAGCATTTTGGTTAGAGAATTAGTTCATGCTTCAGTGTGTTTTGATAGTAAGGGTGAAGCTGTGGTGTTGATGTGAATGGTTCTGTGTCTCTGCTTATCACTTGAGAATTAAGTAAAGCAACACTGGTTGAAATTTCTGGTCAGAGATAACTGACTGGACTTGTAACCTGCTTTGAAAAGATCATACAGATTTGTTATCATCTTTTTGCTTCCTCCAGCATTTGTTCTTTCATTTCAGTAGCGACGGGAGAACAATTAGGCAGAATGAATCTAGCAGAGAAAAGTTTAAATTTCTGAGTGGTCTAGTAAGATCTGTCAGCTAAGCTGCGGCTGAACAAATGCTGGAGTTAGTGTCAGGGAAGCAGTGGGAGTTACAGAGCTGTGGAAGGAAAGGGGGAAATGGGCTCTGGCTTTCTGTCCAGAAGCAGTGAGCTTGGACTCTCTTGCACAGCTGGGTTGTTTTTTATGAATGGTGTTTGTGGGAGAGTGAATGATGGCATCCAAAAGAAATTGATGTAAGGGGGGAGTGTTTTCATTTTAAATAGAATTACTGCTAATAGTCTTATTTTGTAATAGCTCAACAGGAGGACTTAATTTTGGAACTCTGGGCTCTTCCACTGCTACAGCAACTACATCGGCTCCTTCACTGGGTTTTGGGAGTGGACTTTTTGGATCAAAGTCAACCACTGGCTTTACACTAGGAAGCACCAGTACAGGTAGAAAAGAATTCTTGTACTGCAAGTTTTGGATTCAGCAGTGAAGATATAAATTACATTTATTCAAAAAACTTAGTCATACTAAAATGTTTACTCTTTTACAGTTGTTCTGTAGCTTAGAATATTCCTTACACAGTTTTATAAAACCGCTTCTTTAAGTAGTTTGAATGATCATTCATTAAGAATTAAACTGTACCAGTGCAGCAGAAACACAACTGCAATTACCAGAAAACTTCCTGGGCCATGTGTAAATTGTTCTGTAGTTTGAATCCTGGTGTATTTTAGAAATCTTAACTTTTCATCCAGGATGCTCAAAATTAACTTAAGATGGAGATATATTTAGATTTTAAAAGTATTTTAAAACTTTGTGAGATTGTTTGCATTTGTAATGCAATACTTGTAATTCTACAGTAGTGAACATTTCTGAGTTTTTTGTTTGGGGATATTTAATGCAATATGCCTGAAGGAATTGAATATTTTCTTAGGTCTCTAATTCAGCCTATGAACACACAGCTTCTTATAGCAGTAATGGAGTACAGAATTATAAAGCTTTCCTGACAGGGTGGGGTTTTTTCAGCTGTTTAGCAGACTTAAAAATAAATTTTACTTTGCTGCAATATTGCTAGATAAAATGGTCTTTTTCTTCTTGTATGCTTATATGAGTAGATGGGGAAAGTTCTAAGGACGAATCTACTAAAAGTAAAATCAGCAATACACTGAAAACTTGTATTACTGTGGTTGGCTATGGTAATTAGTGGGGCAATTTTATTTCAGTGATTTTTTTGGTAATCTAATCAGATGGTTTTTAAAATACAAAATGGCCTAACACTGAGTCCAGAATAATCTCTTTAAATTACCAGTGGGGCAGAAACCCTAAACCAAGACAGGATTTTACAAGGACTTAAATTTTATAATCCTTTTCATTATACTGTAAATCTGCTGGTTTGCATGCTGATGTTATAAATATACAACTATATATATATAATGTATATATATAGCTAAAAAAATACATGGTAGAATTACTAGTTTTCATCTTTTTTCCTTACTTCATTTGAAATTTCAGATAATACACTGCTGTGTTAGCATCAGCTTCACTGTTAGCAGCTTCTTACAAAGACAAGTTACATTTTTTAAAATCAGTTGTGCTTTAATTTCTGCTGCTGGTGTTTACCCATACTGTTTTCTGTGTTAATGTAGTATCTTTCAATACACTACAGAAAAAGAACTTGTGTAATAGTTGTCTCATAATGTTGCATTCTTTCAGGATTTCGTTTCATGTTTTTTATTGCACAGCTTCTCTGTGGCCTTCTATCACTGTTCTTACCCTGTTCTTTTGTTCTCACTCTTAAAGCAGGAACAGCAACAACTATTGCTACAGGACTGACATTAGGTAAGGACCTAATTTGGATTTTATTTTTACATAGACAAAAAACCCTAAGAGTTAAATCTTTCTTGTAATGTATAGAGCTAGTGATCATATGTGAGCTTCTCCCCCATTACTAATTGCTGTTTGCTTTGCAACCCAGATGTTAAGTCTGTAAATCAGAATGGAGCCCTGAAGTTCTGGGCACTTCTACTTATTAAGGATTATTCAATTCTTGTACTACAGTGACAGTCAAAAGTTGGACTTTGTATTTATGCTCCCCTAATGAGCTCCATCCTTCAGCAGAGGGAAGGGAGATCTGTTACCAAAGAGTTATTCATACAGAATCTCTTGGACTAGTGAATCCTGTGTGAACATGTTTGGTTGGTAATTATCTCTTTAAGAAAAAAGAGAGTTGAACTGGGAACAGACTTTGAGAATATTTTTTGTTTCTCTGATCCATCTGTGGTCTGTATTTTGGAGTTGTCATTACAAATACAGGAGTATATGGGTTGTTGTTAGCTTAGTTGTGAGTTGTTTTCCTTTTTGAACAGCAGCTAAGATCTGTGGAGTCATTGAGTTTGATTATTACTAAGGTTAAAGACACAATGCAGTCAAAGAACTTAGGAAGCCATACTATGAATAAATAGGAAAAAACAGTGTTGAATAAAGAAGGAAATCAAAGGAGCAGAAGGGAGAAGCAGCAGCTAACCCAGAAGAGACTGTGTGATACATAATCATATGTGGAAGTCAGTGCTATGCAGATGAACATTAATTCTTTTCACTAGCTGTATGAAATGATATCATCCAAAACAGCAGTTACTGAGAATAAAAGGATGTGTTTGCTGGTGTGGTTGTGTATGTATGTGCACACTCCTTTACTTTGGAATTCTGGAATTCTAGAATTTAGGATTCTAGAATATGAAATGTCTTCTGACCATGAAAACAGCAGGAAGTAGAAATTGGTTTACTTCAAAAATGTTTGAAAGCAAACTTTGAGGGAGGAACATCTCAACATATTTTTCTTCTTTACAAATTAAAAGGATATGTGCATTCATTTTGGTGTGCACGTCTAATTGAGAATTTGTAGTCTGTATTTTGAGCAGTATTGTTTATAGCTCCATTTTCCAATGTTTGTGTCATCTACTAGATGCTTTTGGTGGAAGTAGTTTTTTTTATATACAGTTTTAGGATTGGTAGTAGGTATAGTTGCCTGTCCAGAATTAAAGTCCACTGGATCCCTAGGAATTCTGGAGCAAAAAATGCCTGTGCAATTGATGTAAACCACTGAAATTCATTAGAAAATTCTGTGGGAATATTTTACTTCATGCAAGTGATCTTTTGTGCTGTGTCACTCAGGATGGTTAAGTGAGATGCAGAAGAGGTGGTGAGCTTAGCTTTCATTTTCAAGCAGAGTGTTTCAAGAGTGATAACTGGTTTTGGATTTCTTCTAGGCACACCTGCCACCACATCAGCAGCTACCACAGGCTTTAGTTTAGGTTTCAACAAACCTGCAGGTTCAGCCACACCATTTGCTTTACCTGTTACTTCTACCTCAGCGAGTGGCCTATCATTATCATCTGCTCTTACATCAACTCCTGCAGCAGGTAGGAAAATGTTTAGGAGTATGGGGCTATTTTTTGTTTGCTTGTTAACAATAAAACTTTATTGTATAACAGTTCCACATCTGTTTTTCTATTATTTATGTAATCTTGTGGTCCATGAATAAAGGGGCTCATTGGACTTCTCAAGTTCTAAATTTGGGTACCCTAATACAGATGGAATTATGGTCAGAGAAGCTAGTGCTATAGACAGCGTACAACCAAAGTCATTAGAAGTGTAGCAAGAGCTGATTTGTTATGTAAAATTATTTTTCTTATTGTTAAGCTCACTGAAGACTGAAAGCTTCCTTCTCATGCAGCTGCAAAGTTTGGGAAATGTCTACCTATTGCAGATGGTCTGAAATGGTTAATTAGCATTGGAAATAATATTTTTAAATGTTAATGTTTTTAAACATTTTAAATTACTTCTCATATTATCATGCACCTGCCATCATATTTAACTCAGCTGAACTGCACCATGCACGATGGTATTTGAGACTCTTATTTTTCTTAACTTTTGAAGTCTGCATTTGAGCTCAGCTGTCCAAGCTCAGTATCCTCTGTTCACTGTCCCTTTATGCCTTTGGTCTTTCTCTACTCAGTTCTTCCCTTTATTACTAAAAGTTGGGATGCTTAATTCCAGAAGGCAGCTCAAACCACCATGGAAGTGTTATTGTATCATGTGTCTTGTGTAAATATTTTAATGTTAAAACATTGAAATTTCAGTATTTTAAGATAAAAATCAGTGTCATTTGCTAGTTCAGTTATGCTGTAAAATAAATTCTGTCCTAGGTTCTAGAATTGGTAGTGTTCTGGGCAACTGCCAAAATTTTTGTTGCAGGTAAATATGAACTAATTAGAGTTATGAAGTTGCAAAGCAAAATAACATATAATTCAAAAGGCTATGGCTTTACGTGAAAACTCTGCAGGAAATAAAAAACACTTATTATCCAATTATGATAAAGATGCTGTTCAGACCTTTCAGTTATTTTAGATTGTCTATGGATGTATTTGAAGGCAGTGTCTGCATTAGTCTGGTTTCCTTTCTCTACAGGAACTACTGGCTTTACATTAAATTTGGGTGGCACAACTGCTCCAACTACAACTGCTTCTACAGGCCTTTCCTTAGGAGGAGCCTTAGCAGGCTTAGGAGGTTCACTTTTCCAGAATACAAGCACAGCAGCAACAGGTGAAAGTTTATTTTAGTTTTTTCTCCTGTCTCAAAACAATGACATTTAATGTGTGATTAAATTACAATGTAAGGTTTAGTTTATAGAAAGTGTTAACACTGGAAGTGTAGTTTTTAACAGTGTTACAGTTAAGAACAGTGTTACTAACTGTGAACAATAAAAATGAAACTGAAATAATTGTCTCCTTTCATGTTCTTAAATTCATTTTTGCTTAACACTTTTAAAGAAACGAAAATACAAGGAAATCTTTGTTATTGGCATAATTGGCTCAAGGGAGTTGATCATATATGGGGAGAGGACAATCATACATGACTATGGAGAAATGGAAAGCTCCTTATTTTTGGTGGGTTTTTGTCTGAATAAAATATTTCACTGTCAGTGTTGTTGTCAGTGACATCACTGTCATTTCATAGCTTCTCTTTTCAGCTCTAGAGGAAGAATTTGTGCTGTATTGTAGTCTTGATAACACTGCAAAAGGCAAAAATACTGTTTGGATTTCTTGTAGGACTTGGGCAAAATGCTTTGGGTTTATCTCTGGGGACAACTGCAGCTCCTTCAACTACTGCCAGTGAAGGTCTTGGTGGCATTGATTTTAGCAGTTCTTCAGACAAAAAGAGTAAGTTTGTTTTAAAACATTTTTTTAAATTGAGGGAATTATCAGAACACTGCAGCAAGAACTATTCTGTTGGGTTAGGAGTGTGGGATTAAAGTTGACAACTTTAACTTCCCTCTTTCAAAGGCATTTCAGTTGATTTCATTCTTAGATATTGTACAGAAGAACAAGATTATGTTTGCAAATGCAATGTAATACTAAATTAATTTAAAAATACATATAAGCTTGAGAACCAGGATGTAAATCCTTGAGCTTGGTGAGAGTGAAGACTCAGGGCTGCTTGCAGAGATGCCATCACATGTTTCTGCTCTATGTCAGATTGTCACTAGAGGGGGGAGCAGAGCTATGTTTAAGTAGTGTGTTGCAAGTATGAAGAGCACTGGTTTGAAATTACTGTTGTCCAGCTGTAATAGATCTTAAACTTGTTTTTTTATTTTGAAAGTCTACACAACTAAAGTGTCCTAATTTTAGATGTTACTCTTCAAGACTTTCTGGTGGTGTGTAGCTATATGTGATATGTTCTGTCACATTGTTAAAACCAGTTATAAAAACTTCTGTGGTAGCTTTAAATTATTTAAGTAAGGGAATATTGAGCATTGACCTATGGAGGCTTGTTAATTTGCCTTGCTTCTACTGGGGAATCTATTAATTTAGTCTCTTTATTTCATTCAGGACTGAAATTTTGAATTAGGCATGCCAACAGCTAAAAGAGAAGAAAATATATAAGCTCCATGAAGCCAGCTTTTGAGAGTAGCCTAGTTTGTGGAGAGTTCTTACTTGTGAAAGAGAGGACATGTTGACTGTCAAAACTGGAGTACTCTGGATGATGCTGATTGTTTTTAGAACTTATTACTGAAACTTAGGGTAATGAAAAGGTTCTGACACTTAGGAGATTTCCATCACTATAATATTAGGATATCACAACACTTCCATAACATACAAGTATCATAAAAAAAGGAACAGAGAACCACAGAGTCAAAATTTACTTTGGTAGTAGTGTTGTTTAGTTCACCTCTTAGGGTGGAAAATTAAATGAGTAACCTGAATTCCCCTGTATGTTGTATAGTGGAATTGGGTGCTGTCAGGACTATTGCTATCAGGATGAGCAGAGGTCCCTTAGCTAAGCAGTGTGAAATTCAAGGGAGACTGTTTTTGAGGTTTTACTTCAGAAGTGTTTCTCTTAATCGCTTCTGCTGCCTTAAGCGCCCCTCATAAATATCCCTACCTGTGTGCTGCTAATCAGTTCTGTCAGTTCAGTTGTTTGTACTGCTATATGAGGAACTGGATTTGAGAGTGATGGCACCATGGTTTTGAGTGTTTTATTTCCCTTTTCCTCATGAAGAAAAGGAAGGAGGTGATACGGCTATGAAGGAAAAGTGCCCTAGCAATCCCAGGATAGTTAGGGACTAGCCTGTGTTTTCTCTTCTGGAACTAGTAATAAAAGTTTTTGCTTGTGACCATCTAGTATTTCTTGAAAATATGGCTGCAGGGAATAAAAACCTGTTCTAATACATATTTTCATCTTGTATTGCTAAGAGAATGTTAAAAAAAATTATAAATCTGAAGCACTCACTTGCCTAGAAAGTAGCAAAACCTGACGTCAGATTTGTGTCTTGTAAGTATTGTTGTGATGTACAGCAACAACTTCAACAGAAAGAAGTGTCTGGAGTGCAAAAGGAAAGTGTGCATAGCTTTCTGCTTATTTTTTAGATTATCAGCAGACAAAGTCCTAAGTTCTGGTGTTTGTCCATCATGCTTTTTTCCCCGTAATTTAGTGTAGATATTTTTTTCCCATTAGTAGAAGGCCTAGGGGATGGTTGTGAGTGTGATCTGTCTAAAGTACTGGGTGACAGTCTGCCAACAGTTTAAATAGATGTTGCTTCTAAAAGTAGTAGCCTCTGCTGGCAGGAGCACTGTCTTGTTCAGCTTCGAATGTCTGTGGTACTAGCATTAGCTGTGTAGCTGCTTTCTGCCTTTGTGGCACTGACAGGATGTGAATTAGATTCAGCTGAAGGAGGTGAAGCCTTTTTCTAGGGCTGAGTGAGCGCTCTTCCTAGCAGACTGTTGTGGGATGGAATGCAGTTACTGCCACAGCCATAACTGGGAATAGTTGTGCCCTGCGTTATGCATGATGCTGTTTTCGGCTGTTCTCTCACTCAGAGGCATTTGGCATGTTGATCCGCAGATGTGCAGTTTAAACTGTGTAGGTGGCAGGTAAGCAGTAACATTTTCAGTTCTGTAAAATCTCACTCACTTCTGGACTTAATGCAATAGCAGAATTCTTTGAGGAAACTCAGTGGGTAAATGTTCATTGCCTTCATATCTGAGAGGAGACTGCCATTGCTGAATTTAAAACACTTGAATGTTTTGTGGGTGCAGGTCGAAGTGAGTTGAGGCTGCATAAGCAGAAACAGATTTCTTATGCAACGGGAGCTGTTCATGTGTTTGTAGTGACTTGTGTAGTACCTTGAGAGGTTGTTACTCAGAGTGCTCAGAGTGCCAGGCAGTTAGCACTTCAACTGTTGAACCATTGTTCCTGAAAGTAGTTACCTCTGAAGGGGTTGTAAATTAAAACTCACTTTTTCTTACAGCTAGTCCAGTATGTTCCCCTTATCATGAGAAATCAAGAAGATTGTAGTCATTAGCTCTTCCTTAAAATCTCATTAAGATTGTTTTGTTTGTTCTTCAAAGCTTTGTTTATGACCTACAGTTTTTATCTTCTAGGTGACAAAACAGGAACAAGACCAGAGTAAGTGTCAGATTTTCTTTGTGTTCCATGTTGTAATAGAAAAAAAGCTAAACAAATACTTTCACTTTTCTTCTGATTTGATATTGAAAAAAGATCTGCATAACTAACAGTTGCCATACAGGTAATTTAGTAATGTTTGGTCATGATTTTAAGCACTGCAATTCTTCCTTCAAATGCAATACGTACAGCTTATCTGGCATCTGCTATAGACTGATCATCTGGTTTGAAAAGTGGTTTCTGCAAACTTGCAAAGTGCTTATACCACAGGCTTGAACCCTGGCATAGGATCTGTGTGCATTAATCCAAGTCACTCCTAGTTCCAGCATTCATGCAATGGGTGCAAAACTGTGTAATCTCTCACCTGAACGTTGTAGAGATATTTACTAGTTATGCAAAAATGTTTGGCAGTATTGAAGGACCACCTAAACATTAATTGTCTCTTGTAGAGATAGCAAAGCACTGAAGGATGAAAATCTACCTCCAGTTATATGTCAAGATGTAGAAAATCTACAGTGAGTAGTGGTTTTTATTTATGATAGTTGTTTAGCTAAAGTATTGTATACTGTTGATTCTCTGTGACAAGAACATGTTCCTGCAGGCTGTCTGAAGGATAAGCTACAAGCCCAGGGCCTCTCAGCAGGTCAGCTTTGGGAACAGAATGAATGAATAGTTCTAGTAGCTGAAGTCTTAGTATGTTTTTTTTTTTTTTTCAGTCTCACTTTTCATGCTTGTATTCAAATGGGTCTGCCCAACAATATGCTCTTACCCATCTCTCTCTTGCCGTGTTAAGCCTGTTGCACATGCATAGTGGGTATTGAACCTTATATCCCTATTGCATGTGCATCATGGATCTTCTATGGAACAGAGAATTATAAAAGTCTTCCTCTGGACAGGAAGGAAGTGGTTTGTAGACTGGGCTGCATGTCTTGTATTTTTGAGTTCAAAGTGGTAATTGCTTTTAGACAGATGCTTATGTATTACTGTATATATAAAATGTTCTATATATCTTAGTTTGTCAGGGGTCAGCATAACATTTTTAAGCACTTCCTATTTAAAATTGAGGAATTTGGGGAAGGGGGATTGTTTTTGTTTTGGTTTGGTTATTTATTGTATTAGCATGGTTGAAGTTAAGATAGTACTATGCCATACAGTAATTTTACTGTTCAGTACTTGGTTTTGGAAAAACATATTTAATAACTATTTAAATAATGTGACCAAGAGGTAAACATGTGGGTACTTCAGGTTCATTGTACTATGTTTCTTTTCTCCCCACCCCCATTTTTTTTACCTTCCCCAGGAAATTTGTGAAAGAACAAAAACAAGTTCAGGAAGAAATTAGTAGAATGTCCTCTAAAGCGATGCTTAAAGTACAAGAAGACATTAAAGCTTTGAAACAGCTTCTCTCTGTAGTTGCCAGTGGATTACAGAGAAACATTCTTAATATTGACAAGCTGAAAGTTGAAACTGCACAGGTATAATTGAACATAATCTTTGTTATGTAGAGTTTTTATGCTGATTATTTCATATAGTATAGCTAGCCTTTTTTATCAGTCAAGTTAACGTGTCTCAACTAAACAGTTGTAAACAGAATGAAAAATTGAATCACTTTCTGGTCTCTTTGAAGTTACTGAAAAAGAAACTGAAATCTGTGCTGTAAGTATTTTCAGATAAGTACAACAGCAGTAAAATTACTTCTATTCAGGAAAGCATTCCTGCGTAGCAAAGGCAATAGATGGGAATGCATGTCTGCTTTAGTTCAGTTTCAGTAATAAATTCAGCTGCTACTGAAGACGTATTTGTAACAACATGATGGACTCTGGAGCAGCAAAAATACAAAGACATGTTCTTCTGATGGCTTTGGAGGAAAAAAATACCAGATTACCCCATAATCTTTCAGGGACCAGAATTTCTTGATTAGCACTAGTATTCCTTTAGGGAGCTTGAGTCACATCTCTGTCTACCAGTCTGTGTTTGAACTGTGCAGACAGTTTGAGCTCAAGTTCTGATGCAGATGCTTTTCAAGTTCTGTACCACCTTTATTTCATTAAGCATGTCAAAGCTGCTTGATATATAAATAAGTGATAATTTATTCTCAAGTCAAAAATTTGATGTTTTTTCTTTATTTTACTCTATAGTTTCACCTTTTCAACAGTTTTCTGTGAAAACAAAAGTTTGTTAATGATATTTTTATATTTCTGTACATGATGCAGTTGAGTACAATCACAGAACCAGGCACTGAGAAATTCTTAATAGTAAAATTATTAGGAAGTATTAAGCAGAAGTGTATGCTGTAATTATCATGTATAACGTGATAATTTTCACAGAGAGGCATTTTTCTAAAGTGGTTTATATTTTTTTATAATCTTTTTTTCCTATTTTTTCTCTTTTAGGTGTGTTACTTCCTTGTACTTGACTATTGCTTTTTTCCCCTCTACACCTCAATAATTATAATATTTCTGAAGTAAAATTTAAAAATTGTCGTTGACAGTTTATTGAAGTATTTTCTTTACTTCTGAGCACTTCATGTGCTTTCAGTATGTGCTGTCTCTTGTTCCATCCTCAAACTTCTGTTGGTATTTGCAGTTCTCCAGCTTTGTGATAGTTAGGTCTTTGGATAAATTTTGATCAAATTTTATCACAGTGTTAAATACATGAAGAAAGTGTTTTATGTGAGTGAAGAGTAGAGTCCTAGCATTTTTATTTTTGAGCACTTTGTGCAGAACCTTATATTTTATTCATTTTCTGTTGTTTATTTAGGAGCTAAAGAATGCAGAAATAGCATTGCGAACACAGAAAACTCCTCCTGGTCTTCAGCATGAAAATACAGCCCCAGCAGAGTAAGTTACTGTTACTCATAGAAAATAGTCAGTAATACAACTTGGAGAAGAGGAAAATTGAGGAGACCTTATTGCAGCCTTTCAGTACTTAACATGGGCTTGTACAAAAGGCAGGGACAGAGTTTTCAGTAGGGCCTGTTATGATGGGGACAGTGATTTTAAACTGAAGAGGGCAGATTCAAGGAAGAAACTTTTTCGATGAGCGTGGAAACAGTTGCCCAGTGACATGTTAGATGCCCCATCCCTGTAAACATTCAAGGTCAGGATGCCCTTGCTTATGGCAGGGGACTTGGAAGGAACCTTTCAAGGTCATCTTGTCCAACCCAACTGTTTAAAGATTCTATTAACTTCATGATACAATTTTTTTCCCCTGCTTCTTATAACATTTATATGGAGTGCTTAATAGAACCAGTGTTTTACTTATTATCTTCATGTTTTACTAATTATCTTCATGTCTTCAACATGAAAAAGAGACTTCACTCTTGTTCCAATTGTAGAGTGACATCAGCAATGTCATACAACCTAACTGTGCAGTTAAGTGAACAAAAATTGGCAGCTAACAGAGATCAGGTAAAAAAAAATCAGGCAAATTAATAAAGTTTAATCATACAATTTCACTTTATTACTCATCTAGCTACTTCAGAATCTTGGTCGAACAGTTTGAAGTACAGCTGCAGCAGTACAGGCAACAAATTGAAGAACTGGAAAATCATCTTGCTACTCAAGCAAATAATTCACACATAACTCCACAAGGTAAATGTTTCAGCTCTAATCTTTTGTACATGAAGAATTTATCAAACTTATAATGAAAACTTAGTAATTGATCTTGTTGGGTTTTCTCATTTAATGTACTGATAAAATTAGTGTTCAGATTAATTCTGTAGTTGTTCAATGTAAAGATTCAGAATTAAAAATTTCATTCACAGAGGCTCTTGAGCTATTTAACATGGATCCATGTCCTGAGTTGCAATTTTTAAGCCGGTTTATTTTTACATCTGCATCTCCCTCCCTTTAGTATCTAACAATGTCTGGCACTTTCTGTCTTGCACTGGGCCTTCTGGCCAGACAAATGTGGGTGCTTGCTCTGTCAGCACCAGATCAAAATGAGAACTTCTCCTTAGTTTGGAGCCTGTTGATATTGCCTTCAGCTCTGACCAACAGAAGATTTTGTCTTGTTTGCTGCCACATCATTCAATCTTGAGAAAATCTCTCTTGATGCTGACATCTGGACAGTAGTCTTCTGCTTGTTTACCATTCCTACGGTCATAGACAGTTTTCTCTTCTGGGCCGTTTTAGGTCCAGCTCCTGCAATAAACAGTGATTTCATGTGCTTGTCATTTTGTGCTAAATGGTACTGGAACATCTTGCCATCACAGGATGGTGCACAAACTTTATATGGACTTACATGTCAAAACGCAAGAGGACTGTCTAGATCTAGCTTCCATAGTGAAAGATCTGCTGGATCTTGAGGATCCTCTATCTTCATGTGACCTTCTTGTCCATCAAGAATATGAGAAGGATGCCTTCACAAATTTTTCCTAAGGTTTCCAGCAGTTTCTGCTATAATTGAAAGGTTCCTTGCTTGTGTAGGCAAGGTTCAATCTGTTGTGTCAGTATGAGCATGTTGTCAGCGATATCTGGTGGCCTATACAACACTATTGCATATGTAGCCTTTACCATACAGAAAAAACTTCCTTTGTCATGCAGGTTTCCATGACTCTGAATATCCTTAAAATTTTGCAATATCTAGTAGTCAGTGTCAATAAATTTCCTCCAGACTAATTTGAAGCTTGTGACCAGCCTTCCTCGATACGCTACCTCCACAACCCTGTGGGCTGGCATGAATTGATTCTATAGCTTTCCTGTTTTTCAAGGGTGAAATTCGTCTACGGAGAGGCAAACATTTTCAGTTCAAGAATCATTGCTAGGTCTATGCATCTTCAAGAACTTGATAGCTACTATATGCATTTCAGTGAACATATATCTGTATATATTTGCATTCAGGCTATGTGCATCGTTCAGAGGAAACACAGAAGCTGATCTTTTCACAATGAAAGAACCACTTCAGTACTTTTCTGTCCTCCACTTTGGTACATTGTTTCAGTGCTTCTATGAGAACAGCATTTTTTTGTGACCAGATACCTCATTCTGCCAAAATCTTTGAGATTTTCCCTTTGGTGCTATGGTTTTGCCTTAGTGTTGAGTCAATGCCCTGTGGGAAATCTGTGTGGGAAATAGGATATCCTAAATAAAAGGCAAGAAGCTCCCTGTTGTGTTTCTCTCATTATGATATGCTTGTCGGTAGAGCCAGATTAAGAGATCCTGTGATACTTATTAATTATGTCTTTAAAATGTAAATAAAGCTTCCATTCTACTATTTCTGACAAAATCAACTTATGTTGATATACACTTAACTACGTTTTAAGTCAGAGTGGAAAATGTATACAAACGCAAGCAAATCTGATTTGACTGTATGTAGGTAAAAGCCAGTGAGGTAAAAAAAATGTCCCTATGTAATTAGGTTAAAATTAGTTTAACTATTACTTTTTGGCTTTTCTAAATAATAGAATCATAGGAAGCTCTTTGCCATGTATATAAAAATAAATCTCAGAAAACAGTACCTTTCAAAATAAAGTTGGAAGCCCTGTGAAAAAGTAGTCCTTGGATAATTTGTGGGACCCAATTTCTGGCTCAAGTCTTGTATTTAATGCAATTGTTCTTTTGCTTTGTGTCCTGTATGGGTTTTAGGTGATCTTCTTACTTTGGTATAAACACTAAATCTTCTAATAATGAGATTGTTACTTACCAGTATTTTATATGCATCTTACAGATTTGTCTATGGCTATGCAGAAAATCTATCAAACATTTGTAGCTTTAGCTGCACAACTTCAGTCAATACATGAAAATGTAAAGGTATGTTTTGATGTGTTCCTATGTATTTCTGTATGACTGTAAAGCGTCATCTTCAGATGGTTTTGTTTTGGGTTTGTTTGGTTGGTCTTTTTGGGGTTTTTTTTGTCCTTCTGTTAAATTGACTGCTTTTAAAAATTTTCACACTGTCCTGGAGAAGTGCTTTTATTAAAAAACTAGCTTTTGTTCAACTGAAGTTGCATTTAAAGTATTTACTAATAGGGATGGCAGCAACTGACCACAATCATTTGAGTTACAAAATGTTTTTCAGTTAACTCCTTTCCTTCTAATTGTTGACCAGTTTTTAAAATGTCTGTTTTCAAGATCATGCTTGTATGTTTTGATTTTTGCACAATGACCTCTTGATCTCAAGCAAAGATGATCTAAATCTGCTCTTGCTCAAATAGGTAACAGGAGAAAAAAAACTGAGTTTCCATATATAAGATTTTTCAGCATATCAGAGAATGTGGGTTAAAGTTGTGTTCTGTTCGTTTATTGTTTTTAAACCTGGCTTTCAGGGTAAGTAGTATTTTAGAAAGAAAAAGAAAAGTATGAAAGCTTAGGTATCAAAGGTCCTAATAGGCCTGTTTTTCCATCACAGACTATGGCTCATTTCATTTCCATTTTCCCATTTACAGTTCTGGATATATTGACAAAATGTCACTGTTCTCCAATCCTTTCAATCCATGAGTTTTCTTGAAAACATCAGAATCCTTCTTGGCTACAAAAAAAAACAAACAAAAAACAAAAAAAAAAAAAAAAATCAAAACAAACCAACTTGAAGAGTACAAGTGTTTGAAATTGTTTCTGCTAAGTGACTTCCTTAATGGAAATAGCTCCGTTAAAACTTCTGCTGGTTTCCTTCTCCGAGCTTCTTCTGCACAGCATTGCTAGTTCTCTAAACATCTGACATTTTTACTTTTTTTCTGAATAAAGTTTAGAAATACTGAGGATCTTGTATGATCTTGATTCCTTGCATTGCATTGCTAATGTCAGCATAGATACTCATTGATTTACAAATACCTGCCATCAGGTATTTGTGCTGTTCTTAGTTAATTCAGTTTTGCTGCCAGGTGTAGAATGCATCAGCTTGTCCATATTTTCAGCAGAATTACCCAGAAGGTTTCCCAAATGTTTTCAGAGCTTGTGGCTTCTGAGATCTGAGTGTAGCCTGAATTTGTGCAGTGGTCTTTGTGGTGATACATTTTTGTTGTTCTTAAGTATGAACAGCTGGATTATTGAGCAGATATCAGCCCTAGCATCTTCAGTACCTTGTCAGTGTGACTGAACAGGAAAGGCCTTTCTTCAGTTTTGAGTGGAATTCTATTACCTGAAATTAAGGGGCTGGTTTGAAGATTTTTCTTCTTGGAAATTTTTTTGAGACTTAATCTAGTGGGTGAATATGGATACTGGTATTTTGGAAGATATTTTATAACTAGAGCTTCAAAAAAGGGAAAGATGTGTACTGCTCAAGTGAATCTGTCATTATAACCATCTGTTTTAGTTTCTCAGCTACAAGATGCTAGAAGGGGAGAGCAGTTCTGAAACTGGTCTCTGCCTAACCTTATGGTTGTGATATGGTTTGTGGAAGGAGCTGTGATCACAGTTCATTTCTTTGCATGATGAAAAGTAAAAGTGTGCTTGGGCACAATTTGAGTAGGTAATGTTATTAAATCATCCAGCATAGCATAGCCTTAAGAACTGCTTTTATGATTTCTAATGGCTTTTGTCAACTCTTAGGTCAGTCAGTATGGTATTGTATTAAATCCCATCAGAATTTTACAATTGTCTTTTCTCTCCAAAGACAGCACTTTTGATGTGATAGTGAGAGCATTCTTTGTGTGGTTCCTGCTGTTGCTGGTTGATCTGGAATTACAGGTGTTCAAATCCTGAGTCAGAATTTTTGGACTACAATCTCCTCTTTGAGGAAACAAGAATATGCTTAGCCAGGAACACTGGACCCTAGTATGCCTTCCATGAACTGGAAACTGTTGTCCTTCAATAAATCTATTTCCTTTAAAGGTTTTCTGATTTTAAGATGGAAATAATTATCAGTTATCTAGTTAAAGCATTTTACTCAATTTTTGTTCTGCAATTTTATCTGTAGTTTCCTCATCTGTGACAGACTGAAAATTGCTCATGATGAACAAGCCAAGCTGGGCTATTGCCACAGAAGGTGGTGGAGTTTTGAGGGGGGAAAGGGCAGAGGCAAGGGAAGGTGTGGCATCATGACACAAGGGATTTGGGCTACCTGGTACCCTAAGGCAGAATGATCTGTTGCATTTGGACTGTTACATTGCTAATGAAATGCATCAGAAAGAAGAGTGAATTCTAAAATTTTGGTAGCTTCTTTAGCTTTTTGGTAAGAAGAAATGCAAGAATGAAAGGAAGGAAAGAAACACAGGTGAAGGTGATAGGGGAGCAAAAGCAGACTCTGTGGTGAAAAGGTAGCACTGAAGAAAAGCATGTTATTTCATAAGCTAGTAATGTGGCTTTATTTTTCCTCTTGGATCAGCTAAGTACAGTGATACACACTGAATTGTGGTGATTTGCTCCAACATTGAAAGACCCAAGCTGACATACTGAATGGTATCAGTTACCCTCAGTTTAAGTATGCAGACTGTTCTGGCTGTAGCTGTTGCAAGCCAGTTCTTTCTGTCTCATAGCCTGACACAGTTTTTTGGGTTTTGGATGGAGCTTCTCATTTGTTTTGGTGGTGGTGGTGTTTGTTGGTTTGGGTTTTTTGTGGGTTTTTCTTTGTTCTTTTAGGAAATGTTATTTGTAATTCAGTGTCTTTCCTTATTAAGTTAAGGGTTTATGTCTGATACATGGAACTAAAATGGCTTCCTCCCATCCCCTTCAGATGCTCAAAGACCAATACCTTGGCTACAGGAAAAGCTTTCTGGGAGATGCCATGGATGTGTTTGAGGCAAGACGAACAGAAGCTAAGAAGTGGCAAAGCGCGCCACGCGTTACCACTGGACCGACCCCTTTCAGCAACATACCAAATGCAGCAGCCGTTGCAATGGCTGCAACACTTACTCAGCAGCAGCAGCCTGCTACAGGTCTGAGTGCATTCAAGTTATAGATTATTAGTGTTATGACAATAGTAAATTCGTGTAACATTTTCTATGAGGTCTTCCTTTGTGTTAGACTAAAAATCTAAACGTTGTGATGAGCGAAGTTACTGATACATAGCCAATAGAAAAATGCAGGGTAGACTTAGCAATAATTATACAACAGATACTTAATCTTGTGAATTTACTTGTATTAGTGATACTGTATTGTTCTAACTTACCCCTTGGAATGTGAGTCTTCACTCTTAAGTAACATCTCTGATTACACATAGTATAGCCTCTTTCCAGAAATTGTATCATTACAGTAAATTATTTTAAGTTGGAAAGGAGAGAATATCTATATGCATACTATCTTTTCTTTATGTAAAATTAATAATGCATTTTTATATAGCACTTCGGAACTGTAAAATGAAAAATGCTGTAGGACAGGAGGGATAGTGAAGCAAATCTCTGTAGAATAGGAAGTCAAATGCCTGGTTTATTTGGTAGCCAACGCTTTTGTCAGTATGATGTTGGAGCATTTTGCTGGCCATTCTACTACTGTGAATAATTAGAAAAGAAAGTAGAGTGGCTCACTGGTTCTGCCTGTGCATGTGAGTAAGAGGAAGACCAAAACAGAGGAAATGCATAACCCACTGCAAATAAAGAATGGATACATGTGGCAAAGGAAATAATTGAAGGCACCTTAATTGATGTTATACTAACCGACCCTCTCTGAGAGTGGTTTCAGAATACAGACAACTGAATTTGTGTCATCAGGGAACAGATATAAGGTCAATTCCATTTAGTTTTACTTGAATAGGAATATATATCTAGGTCAGCAAATTATGAAAAGTATCGGTAGCTTCATTCTACCTTTAATTTTCTAAAATATTGTTCACATAGGTGAACTGAAAATGATAGTGCTTTCTCTGGTCTTGTAACAGCAGTGATATTTTGAATTGTGCTAATTAGAGATGTATGCAGCAGCCACGTTAAGTTTGACACATTATTTGATTGTCCTTGCCTTTTCAGGAGAGAAATACATGTTTCCAGTAGTATGTTTCCAGCCCTCACCCTTCTAAACAGGAGGGAGATGGGTTTAAATTATAAGTATGCCAAACTACTTTGAACAGAACCCAAAAGCTTTGTGAAATACTACTTTTCAGAATTTCAGTCATAGACCACAGTCTTTCTGTTGTTGCTATGTTAATCCATTGAAATTTTGGTGAGGTGGCATCTTGAAAAGAGTTTGGTTTTAAACAGAAAACATGAGTTAATGTAATACTACACTTCAGAGGTTTTAATACCGATAGTAGCATTGTTGCACACTGTTTGTGCAGCCTAATATTGCCAAAGTAATTTACTCTTCATTTTTTTCCTTATCTTACATTTGTTTTTTTAAAGACTCTCCATGGTCATTACAGGATTAGTTGTTTATGAAAGTCATACACTTGGGATGTCACATGTAAAATCATTCCTGCACTTTTATAAAATGAAGTGAGGGATTTGAAGTTCCTGAACTTCCCAGTCCAGATTCAAGGGAACTGCTAATAACTTCAGAAAACTTATGCCACTTACGGCATGACTTTGTGAATATTCTCTTAGTAATAGGAATGAAGAGAGGAGGGGGAAAAACAAATGGCAGAATTGGCCTGTACCAGCGTAACTGAGGTAATGTGACTCTATACCTTGAGATATTTTGTAACATTTTGTAGAGAAAGGAACAAATGAGAGTGCGTGAAGGTTGGTTTGTGGTTTGTCTCTTGTTTTCGTGATTGTTTTGACAGAGTATTTCAAAAACCAAAATTGTGCCAATTACAAGTGTGATGCCGATAGAACAAAGCCATTAACTTATATCAAATATGCCAACAGAAGTAGACAACAATATTTTTACTACCTATTCTGTTGGAATACTTTTATTCCAACCTGGAGGACCTGAAAAAATAGAAATAGATTGATGTTCTGAGTGGCACTTTAAGAATACTTGAAACTCTGTAGGGTTAGGTGAAAGAAAAAGGTACTTGGAGTTCTCTCTAGATCAAAAGTAGAATTAGTCAGGCCTAAGCTATTTCAAAGATACCTTGAAGTCCTAAAAGTTTGTTAGATGGGAACATTGCATAGCTTTCCTAAATGACTCATTTTAGTGTTTGACTTTTTCCTAGCTTCAGATTAAGGCTGCCACTTTTTGTTTTGGGGAAGGAGAAGAATCTGTTCTTTGAGTTTTGCAGGAATCTTTAAGGACTGCCTCCTCTTCATTTCCTTTTCCTTTTTATTGCTTGAGTTTTCAGATGGCCATTTGCTGTAGTAGTGCAAATGCTGCATGTTTTAGTTTTGTATTATGTTGTTATGAATTGGATATACTGTCTGCTAGAAGTTAAAATCATACATATTTCTTAGCAAGATCTGGATCTTGAAGGATGGGATAGATGAGGGATGGGAAAAGGTTCTGAGAAAAAAGGCTATGAAAAGAGGTGTATGTAAAGGGAGGGGTGAGGGATGTCTGTGTAATACCTGATCTGCTGTTGCTGTTTTTGAAAATGAGAATTAAACAAGAAAATTAATCTGGCCTTTATAGATTTCTTGATGAAAAATGTAATATATAGTACTCTAGCATTGAGGGATCAGGATGCTTAATCTCTTTTTTAAAATATTTGATGTTTACAATGTTTAGTATTTAGTAAGATGAACTTAGAGTTACTGTTCTTTCTCTGAAAAAGATTAATAATAATTTATTTTACATTTATTTTCAGAAGTCAAAAGTTTAGTAGCTACATCTAAGCTGTGGGATCAGGGAATGTTTCCCCAGTTCCTGGGTGTAGGTATGCACCCTGTGTTCTCTCTGTATGCTAAGACCTTTCTGGCTTCTATTGAAATAAATAAAGCCAGTGAGTCCTGACCATATGGAAGAAAGGGAGCAAAAATGCACTCCACTGCTCACCTGGGATGGATAATCATAACATCAGGACTGTGGTGTGCACATTAAAGCACAATTTTTGTGCAGGTTTTTAAGCTAGAATTATTGAAATTATGCTTAAGTTTTGGCTGTACACAACCTTTCTCCCTAGTTTGGCACTTTCATTCTGAGCACAGCTTTTTTTGGTTGCAGCAAGGCTGGTCATGCTTTTCTGCAGTAGCAAATAGAGTTTTAAACAGTGCCTCATCTGCACGCTCCCTGAGCAATCTTGAACAGCGTGGAAGTTACAATGGTAGTGGCTAACCTACCTATTTTTGTTGATGGGATTACAGTGTAAGATTTCAAAGGAAATTAAAGCCCAGTGCACTGAGACCTGTAAATGCATGAGGCTGCAACTGATGTTTTTCGGGTAAGACACAACGGTCTTAAAGAAATGCTTTTCTTTAGGCTCACCTTTTCTCATATAGAAATAACCGCCAAAGAAACTCACTTTCTCCTTTACTGGTGAAGTACAAATTGTGAAGCTGTTAGCACACATTCTGTTTGACAGTGTGAGACTGAAGTTCTAATGGGAAAGGATACTCAAGTTTTATAGCACTTAAACTTTTTATTGTGTGGTTTGATATTGACTTTGGTTAAAGTTAACTAGTGTATTACTTTGTCATAATCAGAACTAAATTGTAATGCTAAGTTTACTCACTGTTTAGACCAGCTGTAATTAAAAAAATTGCAGAACATCAGTAGGAAATCTGTCTGACCTGTCTGGCTCTCTGTAATGGGTCCTATTCACTAAACTGAAGTGCTCTACAGGGCAAATACATCAAGTTCTAAAATGTTAAAACACTTGTTACGAAGAATTTGTCTTGTACCTGTAATAGCCAGAAGTGCCATTTTTTCCTTGCTAATACTCTTGGCTTCAAGGAGTCTTACTAGTCTTTTGCTATTGAAGATTATGTTTACTTACAAGAACTAGAAGCAGTGATGATACATTCAGAACATTATGGTACAACAAATATTGCTGTTGCTGAATAAAAAGTTTGTTAGCTTAAGGCATAAGATCCTGTTTTATATGATCTGAGGTGTTTTAGTATAATGTTTTATACTGGCTCTAAAAAAAGCATGTTGCATTTGGTAAAAAGCTTGGCCTGGAGGACTGTAGTGTTTTGTTTATAAGGTCTTCCACTAACAGTGCCTCCTACTGAGATAGAAACCTGTGTACTTGAGAAGGAACTGGATATGTGGTTTTGGGTTCTTTCAGTTAATTAGCTCACTGACTTGTGTAGGGGGTTTTGGTTTTTTATTGTCAAATATTTTCTTATTTTTTAAGAGCTGCTAGGTAGACGTATCAGTATTTAAACTGGATGTAAACAACTTTAGTTTGAAATCTGTGGAAATTTGTAATTGCAACATCTGATATACTTTTTTTTTTTTAATGGAAGAAATAGCTTGGGTTTTCCAGCTATTCCCTGCTAAGCAGAGATTGAAGGCTAACAACTTTAGTTGGCCTTAAAATTTAGTTTTAACACTACTTGGTGTATACAGATGTTATTCAGCTTGGATCACATAAGAATTTTGTGTTCCTAGCAAAAGTTGTTACTTTTCAACATACAGTGCCTTTCACTTGATTCAAAAGGATTTTCCATCTAAATCTTGAAATACAGAAATTATTTTAAGAGCTTGAAATATTCGCATTTTAGAACTCTGTATAAATATTAGAAACAGGAAAATTTGAATGAAAATAGCCCAGATGTCATCATGGTTTAGGAAAAAGGTCAAATCATCTGAGCTTTATAGTAATATTTGAATAAATCATCACTTTCACAGATATAGGATGTCAAGAATGTTCAAAAATGGAGAAGGCCATCTTGAGCAGAGGTGCGGATGTCTGTGGATTAAGAGTTTGGCACTGTATTTTATCTTTAATGGTTAAACTTTTAAAATAGTGCACTGAAAACTGTTTGGAAAAGACAGGAATAGAAGATTGTACTGTGAAAACTGTCAAAATATATTAATTATTTATCAGAATTAATTATTTTAAAATGTGTTAGTGACGGGCTAGCAAGTTAATTCTTTATTCCCCGAGGTTAAGATAAAAAAAGGAACTGAGACTGTAAATTTCCTCTTGGGAGACTGAAATTGTTTTTTGACAGTCCTGCATCTTAATGTGTGAATATGCAGGGAAAGTACTGTCAACTTTTTTAAATTATGGAACAAACTCTGAAATTTTGAATGTATCTAATTCATTAAGGTACACAGAACTGTGCCTTTTGTAAATGGTTATTTAAACAGGTGGTTTGACTAGTTTACCCTATTGAATGGTGTTATGTAGCAGAGCTTAACAGAACTCAGTTATCACTTGTGTGGAAAAAAAATGAATTGTCATGTTACTGTGTAATTGACTTGCTTAAAAATGAACAATAAATTTAATAAAATAAAGTCATTGTCTTGTTTTTTTATCTTAGTGTTCTGTTTAAATTTGGATGGTATACTGGAGTAGTTTTGAAGAATCCTATTTATTAAATTAATTTTAGGTAATACAGTTTTAGTTACATTAGTGTCAGTTCTTATGTTTCTCATTTGAAAGTTTTCCCTTACTCTGATTCCATTAATACAGGTGGCAAAATGTTGTTACCTATGAGTTCTCTCAAGGTTTTGATTAACATTTTAAAGCTGAAGGTGAGACTGGTTAACTTTTAAAAATACTAAATTATATTGTTATGTTATTAGTTTGGGTTAGTTTCACCTTACTGCAATCAGTATTTTCTTAGATTTTTGGCAAGTTAATGTAGAGACAGACAATTAAGTGAGAAATTTTGATGAGGTAAAATCTGGGTTCTGAATGGGATTTGTTGAAAGCAATGATGTTCACATTATCAAATACTTGAATAAGTAAATAAAGGACCTCTTTACTATCAAAGAGTAAGGCAAGTTTGTTCTCATTTTTTTTGTACCAGGGCCACAGCCATCTCTGGGAGTTAGTTTTGGAACGCCATTCGGCTCAGGTATTGGCACTGGCTTGCAATCAAGTGGCTTAGGTTCTTCAAGCCTTGGAGGTACACTTTAACTTTTCTAATCTTTCATTGAATTATTATACCGCACAGCTGAATCTCTTGCAAACTTTAACTCCACTAAGAGGATGATCTGTTTCAGGGAAAGACCTTACAGTTTGGCAGATCTCTGCTTTCCAGGCTTCTTCCTGCCGTGCACTAAGCCATTGTAGTGAAACCCCAAGATGAACAGGATTAGGTCATCACAGAGAGGTTGTGCTCTAAAAGCTAAGGAAGGACATCAAGTGTGTTAGAACTACAACTTGACTAAATTTTACCTATATGAAAGTTAGGCACCTGAGACATTAGATCACATTGTAGGTAATCCATAGAAGTTTTTCACCTTTTAACTATAGGGACCCATTTCTACTTGTATTAAGATAAGAATAAATGTTAAAAAGTTACTGTAGTTCTGTGATCCTGAAGTCTCTTTGCTTTAGCACTCACTCTGTGCCTCAGTGCTGAGGTGGGGAAAAAAATCCCCCAGCTGAAAAAGCAGCATGTGAAAGTGAGGGAAAAATACTTATCGAAATGTTAATAGTGCTGGTGGGGACTGTATTCTAGGAGGACACATCACTGTGAAAAAGTAGGTGATATAAAAAAATTTTCCAAGTTAATGTAGACCTTTTATTTTACATGTAATGTGTTCACAGCACTAGAGCTACAGATAGAATTTAAGTGAGTACCAGAATCTAATAGGCATGTAAATTTCCTGCCTGTATAGGCTGGAGTTCCTAATGTTTTCTGGAGCTTTTATAAGATCTGCATAGAAAATGCATCTCCTGAGCACAAACATAACGTTTTTCTCCTACATCCTCCATTCTCTGCAGCCTCAGTCCCCATTCCTACATTTTACCTATGAGCCGAACATATGAGTCAGTGTTGCAATGTATTGGAAATAATTAAGCTTCACTCAGTATTGGAAAGATGATGTTACCTGGACATTACATGAGCTTTACCTTTAATAATCATCTTAAAATACCGTTATATCTACCAATGTCCCTTCTCATCAGATTTTAAGTGTTTTCAGATAAAAGAAAATCTGTATACCTAAACAAGAAAAAAGTGAAAATAATGTGGTAAAAGGAAATTACTTTGGAATTACCAGTTTTTCCTGCCATGTTTTAAATGTCATTAAAAAAACCCCACAAAATTCTTCCATTTCTGCTGAAAAGGTCGTAGACTCAAGATTGTTCACACAAGTCTTACATATGTAAATAAATGAACATTCCAACTGCTTTTAGTTTTGTCCAAAAAACCTGACTTGTATTCTCTTTTTTTTTTCCTAGCTCTCTGCCTAGGAAGGTATTTGCTTGCATCATTAATTTGCAAAATGTCTTAACAAATCCATAAGACTCTCTGATAGAAGCAAATGTAGAAGAATAAATACATACCTGCAAAATAGCCTGTAGGTGTGTTCTTGGAAACAAATTGGCTGAATGATTACTTAAGTTTGTTTGGGATTTTAATCTTAGGGATTTGGGTTTTTGAACAGAACAATTTCTTGTGTATGCTCTGGAAGTGCTATTTTGATTGGGGAAATTTGCTCTCTAGGCTAGTGTTCCGTGTACTTTGACAGTGATAAACAGAGCCTTTTACATTTAAGTATATAAATTATTAGCATAGATCCTATGCTTCAGTAGATATTTGCAGATAACCTTGCCTGGTCATTGGTTATGAATTTCAACAAAAGAGCGTGTCGTTTAAATGAATTGTCTTACACAGAAGTGATACTTGTCATTACCTACCCTTAATACCCCTCTGATTTAAAAATCTCAAAAAACTTGAGAACACTGCTCCAGATAGTGTGTTCAGGCCTTACAGGTTTCAAAATCCCAAAAATATTTCTGTAAAGGAATGGTAAAGGCTCAGTTTGCCTTTTCAGTAAATAAAAGGATTTTTCCTGGCACTTGAAACTTAAGATGGGAGCATGATTTCCTCAACCGTAAATACAAATACTGTTTTCTTCTTGAAAACCTGAGACAGCCAAAATCAGAGTATATAGTTTTCTTTTAGTTCCTATTGTCTGGCCTCTAGTTCAAATTTCAAATATCAATTTACTTTTCCTTCAGGGTGACCTCATATCAATAACACAATTTGAAACCTTAAAAAATTATGAAATTATGAATGTTAGTTGCAAAATCAACAGAATTTAATTTTGTCACAGCTATACATTTATGGCTGCCCTTTTATGATGATTTTCACATTAAATGTTGTGCAATTGGTTTCTGTTTTCTATTTAATCTATTTTGTAGTTTCCTAGATAAAGCTGATCCCTAATAACCTGGGAGAGGGACGACTCTCAGTTAAGCCAAGTGTAAACTGAAGAAAATGCTTACTCTGTTTTAAGCGTATTTTTTTTTTCCTAGAGTTGTAGATGAAGATTGTGACTTTCTGTAATAAGTCATGTATCTTGTATCAAAATTTCTTCGTTTTGGCTCATTTGGTTACTGTGTCCTGCCAATCTAATGGCAATTCAATAGAAATTTCTCAAACTCTGATAATTCACACAACTGTTTTTATAATTTTTCCTTTACTCAGTTTTGGATTTTGAAGGTAGTATTTTTCTCAATACTTTCCAGTTTGCACTGTTTTCTTAACACAATGCTGTGTCAAGGATAAATACTCTTCAGACAATCTTAGGAGTATTTGTTTACCAAATAATGCTTAGAATTATGTTTGGGTTTAGAATACTCACCTAAAACCTGTTGCTGTGTCTGTAATTTTTTTTGTTGTGTGTCTTTACTATTATTCTACTAGGATTTGGAAGTAGCTCTGCCTTTGGAAGTAGTGCCACAGGAGCATCATCATTTGGGTTTGGAACTACAAGTAAACCATCAGGAAGTCTAAGTGCAGGTTGGTTTGTTTCTTTTGCATTCAAAAATCAAGTTTATCTTAAAGCAAGTGTTATAATCAAACTGCTGCCCTCACTCCAAGAAATTGATTGTTTAAAGTTGCATGTGTATATCACTTTCAACAACTATTTACTTGCTAGAGACACATTTTCAGATAAGTTTTTGGGTTCTGTTAAAGGTCTCCTATGTAGACAGTATTGACTGAGCATTAATGTTTTGCATTTCTTGCTGTCTGTCCTAGTTAAGAGTGGAAGCAGGAGATCAGATGCAGCCTCATACACAGAAGAGCAGTTGTCACTTGAATGCATTGGGATCAGTTACTGATCGAAATTAGGGTATAAATTAGTGACAAATATACTAGTAATTTAACTTCCTATATTTACAAATAAAGTTAAAATTATTTTCTGGAAGCCCAGAGGTTTCCTTAAAAATGTATAAGTGCTTACTCTACTTGAATAGTAAGTTACATGTATTGTATCTCTGTATGTATTCATAATTCATTTTATTAACTACTTTGAAAACATTTCTGTGGCAATTGAACTACACAGTACTCATTTAGTTATTTTAGTTTCATTTTTTGTGTGGTGATAAAATATGGATGCTATTGCACCTTAACTCAGAAGTCTGAAATACAGCTGGCATCCCTGTTTACCTTTTAAACAGGAATAATAGCTTACTAAGTTATTACTAAGCAGATAGCTTCTATAGTCTGTCTTGCAATCTTTTTTCAATGGCACATTGAAGGAGGATCATATCTCAAGAAAAATGTTTGATCACCTGCTATTAAAAGAAAACAGCATTTAGCTGGTATTTACTAGGAAGCACTATGATTTGTATTCTGGATTCTCCTTGGTTAGTGATGAGTTGCTAGGCCTGTAAAGTACTTTAAGCTTTGCATTGTAAGGTGGAAATGGCTCACTGAGTTGGCTGTTTAATATTCGTGAATGTTAACAACCTAGTAGGTTCTTGATGGAACTCTACAGTATCTGGTGTCCAAGCATCAGCCTTCTTTTACTTAGTTCTTAATATGAGAAACAATTGGAACACTTACACTGCTTATGATTTTATCTTGTAGCCTATTGTTCCTGAGTCTATCTTAAATAATATTGCAGCATTTAAAGCTGCTGGATTACAAAGTTAATAGTTTAGTTTTTAGCATATTAAAAATCGAATTACAAAACTACTTGTATGGAGCAGTTGTCCATCACTAAGGAGGTATCAAGCCAAAATAAATCCCAAGTCTGTCTTAGCTATGTTGGTGGTGTGCAGAGGCAATTTAGATACTGTTTCCCTTAAACCAGACTTTGTCATGGAGTCAGTGCCATCAGTCTCTTTTACAAATGAAGGGATTGCACCCAGTTGTCAATTACCTCAAAAGAGTCTCAGCTACAGAAAGTAGCTGAGTAAAACCAGGTGAAATGTAACTTCTGTCATTTTTTGCTTAGAAAATCAAGTGGTCATGAAATCCTTATCTAGATGGGTTATGGAATAGAAATTGCTATAAAAATTTTGGAGCCCAGAAACACTAACTTTTGCCTTCTATATCCAAAACCTTATGTCATATAGCACCTGGATTGCATATTATCTTTCATTTTATTGAGGGTGTATAAATGGATTTGAATGATACCTGAGGCTAGCTAGATTATATTTACTTCTTTTAAATTTCTTGTGTCCTGTTTCTTAGGTATCATTTACAGGATCCTGAAAGCATATTCTGGTTTATCTTACAGTATAATGGTTGTAACTTGTTTCTGAATCTATTTCTTTGAAAAACCTAAGAAAGTGGGATGAATACGGGTTATGGGATTCACTGTTGTTGCTGCTTGGGTTTAGATATGAGCAGTTAAGTATTTTTCC